AAGGAAAGTATTAAATCTTGAAACCAATCGTATTTACACATATAGAAGTGACTATGATAATATAATGAACTCTGTATGTCCTATTATCACTATTAACCTATTTTAATAATTTAATACCAAATATAATATTTTTAGAAATTACAATCAAATACAGTTGTGCAGACCCGTGTTTTAAGTAAAGAATGGTTATTACCTCAATTTATTTGCATGACATTCGGCGAAACACTGTTTACTATGACTGGATTATCATTTTCTTTCTCAGAAGTAAATAAAAATAAGTGAAAAAAAGAAAAATCAATTTCAATTTAATATGTAACTCAACTTTCCTACACATGATCAACAATTATTGTTAAATGCATAATCTCCATTCGACAGTCTTAAATAAAGACAAATTAAACGTGGTGCCTATTAAGAAGGAAAGGGAATAGTTAGGTCTATTTGTATTCATTTTTTTCTTTGGCTATTATAATAATATGTCTACAAGATAAACTCAGGAACAAAAAATTTGAACCGTCTATTTTAAATATAAAATGGACGTGGTCTGTTTACATTTGTCGTTTGTATTTTAATTTTTAAAATACTTGATCCTTTTAAAATATTGATCCGGCTGCGTATTGATTAATGGCAAGACTGGCACGGGGTGGATGGAAAAACGTCCACAAACGGTGCTGTTTTTTTGCATCTCCATTGGTCTTTTTTCATTAACTACACGAATAATTGTATTTGCTGAACTTTTTTTACAGACTCCTGAATCAATGAAAACTGTATCAATATCTATGTGGTATTTTTGCGTGGCTCTTGGAAATTTAATTGTCATTTTTATCAACAAATTTATAGCATTTGAAAAGAAAGTAGGTAATCAATTTTTATTTCCTATAATTTATACCCATAAGACCAAAATAATATGTCTAGTGTGTTTTGAAACCAGTCCAACATGTTTTTCATGTTCGCTTTCATTGCACTTATAACGATCATCGTCACATGCAAATGGAGTAACACGTACGAAAAATTGTATTACGAAAATAAAACAGACACGGAAAATGAGAGCGATAGAGGAAACGTCAATTTAGGTGATGTCCTGTCCTAAGCAATACAACGAAAAATAATCCACATATTACATATTAATTACTTTTTTTTGTATGTTCGTAGTGATGTTATTAAAAAAGGAAAGTTATCAACTGTCGTTTTGAAAACAAAGAGATTATATTTTAAGACATTTATCAGCAAATAATACATTGAACATAAAATGTTATAATAGTTTATAATATTGTTAAAAATCAGACTTCTCAAAAACAGCGATGATAATAAAAATATTTTAAATGCATTTAAGTATTTTTATTTAACCAATTATCTGTTGAAATTGTGCCAAATGTTGGTTTATTTATTATAATATAATATTTAAAATATTGTTCATTGTTAATATAACTTAAAAGCTTACAAGGTACAACAGAATATCAGATTGTTGTTTGTTGTTCAACCCAACTGGCTAGTAGTGACTAGTGGCTACACCTAAGTATTTACCTACCTATTCAATTATTAGTTGCATCGACAGTAAATTTAAAATAAAATGTACAACTACGCACGCGAGTTGTTTTAATGTACGACATCATGAATAATAGTATTAGGCAACATTCATGATACATAACATCAGTTATAGATACCTACTTCCGTAGGTAGTAACATCAATACAATTATTAAAACCATCAGTTGACCAAATAACCTGTGAGAGAAGAAAATTGAGACTTTGAGAGACCAAATTTTGGTTTTTTTCTGAAATAGAATTACACGAGGTAGGTCCTAGGTAATAGGTATGTACCTACCTATGTACAAAAGGAGTGTTACCATGATAGGCCCATGCCCCATAGAAAAAATAAATTTAGTTAGAATGTCATATACATACTACTATAGTAGCCTAATTAGTCAGGAAATTAAGCAGCCGCTAGGAATGTGAAATATTGATCGATCAAATCAAATTTTGTTTCTATAGTATAACAGACCCACGGCAATATGAATGACTAAATATGGATAAATAATAATTGTATTAGCTCCAGAGCTGTTATGTCTATGGTGATATAAAGAAATAAGTTTAGTAAAGTGACATTATAATCGAGGGGCTGTAAGTTTGTGCACTAAAAACTGTTAAATACACACGCATTGAATTAAATAAATTGGAAAATATACACTAAAAATTAAAAACCTAGATTATTAAAAATTATAATTGTGCGCAAACATTACTGCAGTAATAGATAGGTAAATAGTTTAAAAGAGTCTTAGAGAGTCAACATATATGGCACAAAAACATATTTCAATTATTACAATGACTACAATAAAAGTACCTAATAGTTATGTTTTTATGAACTATGATTCAACAATTTTGACTGGGCACTTTTTAAAAACATTAGGTACCTACCTATCAATTACCTACTTTAAGGCTTCGTTTTATTTAGCTCCCCACCTAAAAAATTTACATCTTTGTTGGTTCACTATATCTTAACAGAACACCCGAGAATTGTTCTCCAGTAAAATTTTTCAAATAAATTTCAAAGCTCAAAGGGTTAAATTTGATTTTGGTAAAAAAAATGTATACCTACCTAATACAATATTGAAGTTCAGTTGTGTAATACAAATTCCGCTCATTTATGAATATCTAAGTTAGTGATGCTTTTACTTCTTTTTTATTTATTGATCTTAGTCCCGGCAACTATGGCCATTTAAACATTTATAGTGGGTTACGGTTGGTTCGGAACACGTACATGTGTGGCTAGGATTTTTCACTAAAACCCGGGTAGTCACCCATTCAGAAACTAGTTACATCTTTAGTCACTTGCATTCATAACACGTTTTGTGACCGAGGACAACCACCACTCTACACCAAGCCACCTTATATAAGTTTGAGGCTTCAGGATTGGTGCAACTGCGTGAGAGTGTAAGAAGGGGTAATTTCAAAAAAGACCTACCCCACCCCCACTTATATACAATACAACAATGATGTATTTTTACATGATTACATAAACAAGAAACAATTTTAAATATTTTCGTATCATGATATTATGGTTTATGCATGGTTGCTACAGTTAATATCAACTAATAACACGATAGTTGCATTCATTATACTAGATAATAAAGACGAAAATGGGAAAAATGTAAATCGACATCCAGTCTGCAAAAAAAAAAAGGTGGCTACTCGATATTTGTCCTCTACCAGTTAAATCTATGAATCATAAATATTATGTTTTTGTTAACAAGTAACCATGACAACGAAAACATTAAGAAAATTCGGTCAGAAACAAAAACTCTGTATCCAGCCCAAAAACATATTTAAGTAAAAAAACTATTCAAAAAAATGTAGTAAAAATTATTGTTTTGGTAGGTAACAGAATACATTTTGCACAAAATATTATCCAAACATAATTTTGACGCTTTATATGTGTGATAATTTAAAAAAATTCTTTGTTATTAATATTTATTTCATTTAAATATAACTTTGATCAAAATTCGATGTTTTAGTTATATTTTATTTTGTAACGATTTCCTCCAATATTTACCAGTAATAGAAAATAGAGTAAGCTGTTGAGTGTTGGGTTGGTAACATTTTTTTTTATATATATAAAACCATACTTGAAATTTAGTTTTCTCTACATCTGATGATAATTTGAAATTTATTTCTTTACCCAATTTCGATATACCTAATCTTATCACTTTATTACATTCCTTGTTTATTTATTTGCGCTACATCGTCTTATTCAAATGTGCTTTGTTTCATATTATCAAAAATTATTTCCAGCTTATCTTTAATTTTTTTGTTATTTATTATACAGAGTGATTCATCAAGCACGCTTACCCCCTTATTTTTTTCTTTAATAATACAGTTATTCAAAATCTGATTTTTTTTTAATTTTTAAATATACCTACTAAAGACCATATTTTCAAATTCTTGAAATTTTTTGTACTGTAAAGAGAGGGGCCTATCCTAGGGGATACTAACTTCTGTTTTTCAAATGAGAACACCCCTACCCTATTAAACTATAAATTTTACAGTAGGTTATTTTTCTGAAATTTTTAACAAAATTCTTAACAGAAGTTTTTGAGTTTATTTAACTTTGTGTTCTAAGGATAAAATGTTTATAGTAATGAGTTTATATAAGATATGATGAATAACGACTGGAAAATTTTAGTCATTGAGATTAATCTGTTGGTATAAATAATTTGTAAAAATGGCCCAAGTATAATACATAGGTACTAGATCCAATTTTACTTCTATTTTATATTTATGTAAAATCAGTTTTAAGGACGATTAATTATTATCCTTAATACAAACATTTTAGTAACTAAGAAACTACTATTGTTTGAATTTCAAATGGGTATATCAAAATTTTCATACAATTATCCACTTATTAATTTACAGTAACAGAGGTTGGTTCTCATTTGAAAAAAAAAGTTTATATCACCACAGCAATCTCCTTAAGTAATACAAAAAAATTCGAAAGTTTGAAAATATGGTCTTTGAGTATATTTAAAAATACCAAAAATCAGAATTTAAATTAATTCATTATCAAAGGAAAAAATAGAGGTTAGCATTCTTGGTGAATCACTCTGTATATTCATTTTCGTCTATTTTTTCAGTATCAACACAAATATATTATCAATGGCATAGATCTATTATATCACTAATATAATATTATGAAAATAATGTTAATATAATTTCATCAATGTTAAGTACTATTTAATTTGTGTTTATATGAAAGAGAAGCAATTTTATACAACGTTCATTTAATACACATTTTTTCATAGAATTACCTCCATTTGCAAATTTTGTAAACATTTTACGATGCTTTTATAATAATTATTGTTGTGATCAGTTTATCAGAATTCAAATTTCAAATATCGGATGTAGGTAGGTATTTACTTATTGTGTAACCTTGACAACAATTAGTTTTAACGTAGATGTAACACATTTTTAAAAGAATACAACACTATTAGAATATTATCATACCTAGGTATTGATTCAAATTACAAAATGGAAGTTAACCCAGAAGAGGTAAAAAGGCACTTGGACATCTTGGGGTACACGAACATAGAACCCAGTCTGCTAAATGAGTTCATAAAAGGTAAATATTGGAAAATAATTTAAAGTTCAGAATTTTAATTTATCGCGCATTTGCGAGTTTAAACTATTTCGGTTCTTTGAAAAATTGATACCTACCTAATTACATTCCCCGTCTTAAATGCGCATATACGTATACATAAGGGTGGTAGGTACGTGCACAACAGGTACCTTTAAGTATATATTTTGATGCAAATGTTAATAAAATACAATATAGATAATCGTATTATTAAATAAATATTTTTCTATATTTTAATATTTATTATAGCCAGATCATTGAATCTGTTTTGGGTCATAGTCGACCTAATGTAGATACCTACATTTTGATTCTGCTCGTGTCTACATAAACTATTGTAAATCGTATGTAGGTAGTATCCGTTATTTCTTGCTTGAAAATAATACAATAATACATTATAATATTATATTAAACGTACCTAGGGTATTATACTTTTAATAGGTAATTCACATTCAAACTGTCATCGCATTAAACTTATTTGATCGAACCGTCGCTAAAACTATTATTATATAAAACCGCTGGGTAAAAAGAAGGCTGTCATTTCGCGCACCACTCAACCATTGGAGGCGCTTTAATATAACAACTTGCACACAGTGCCACCAACAATGAGCTATTGCACATTTGCACATACATTACAATATGGTACATCCGCAGTCCTAATGTATAAAATATTTATATTATATTATTATCATATCATGTTTAAGTAATTATTAATTATTTTACACATTGAACCCATGATATATTTTTTTATTTAAAGATTTTGGTTTCAACCCCCCACCCCGGTGTTAAAAAGTAAAAACGTACAGAGGCTAGTTACACTGATGGGTACATAAGTATTGCATAATATACCTAATAAGTAATAGTAAAATTACATTTTATTGGTATCCACAAATATTTACCATCGTCTTATGAAACATTTTCTCCGAGGTCATATATCATATTATACAACAAATGAATATAAAATAAAAATGTAAAATATGATGTGTTGTATAAAAGTAATATGAAATGTTAATACTGATCCAGTCTTACCAAAAAACGATAAAAGTAATTGCAAAAAAAATAACAAACCATGCATGACATTCATTAGTTACCTATAATTGTTCTCTATTGTTCACATCTGAAATTAATAATTATATGTAGGCACTGGTACTAGTGGTACCTACTACCTACTATCGTGATTCGTGGTACACTGGTACTCTAGTCATCGAGATTGATAAGAATTAAACTTTTAAATATTTTATATTACCTATATATTATTTGTAAATAATATATCTCGATGGCCAACTAAACTTAAAGAGAAATATACTTAATTTTTTTTTTTTTTTTTTTGGGGGGGGGGGATAAAATATACTAGATTCTGCATACAAACAATAATAATACCTAATTAAAAAGTATAAGACAACTTTTGGAGTCGCGGAGATTAACTACTGAGTAGGTGGTACAGAGGCAAGCCAGTATAAAGGATGGTTTTAGAGGTTTGACCCCCCCCCCCCCTACCTCGGGATTTTTTAAGTAGGTATAAATTTAGTAAGTTTATAATATATACGTATATTTAGTTCATGTATTAAAAATATTTTAACCCACCTAAAAATGTATCCTGAATACGTTTACAGAGGTAAAAGAAGGCAGGTACTTATATTATAGGTACTGGTTTATATTTTAACAATATATCATGCACAGTACATACGATGATATTTTAGATTTGAAAAAGATCATCGAATACGATCGAAAACACAACAACATCAGTGCACTATCTATGTCGCTTTACAAAGACTGGGAACAGAGTTACTCCGAGAGGATGAAAAGTAGTACCCCGATTAAAAACGCCGTCGAGCGTAATCGTACAGCGGACGGAGACGAACACGAAGATGAAGTCAACCTAATGAGTAAAAAAAAAACCTAATACACAATATTAAAATTGTATCTTTATTGGATCTGGGATTGTTGTTACTGGGCCGTGGAGGGGGGGGGCAAAAAGGAAGTGACCTATGGTTACGAATAGGTAATAACAACAGTACCTACCTATATAATATATAACTATATAAGACATCATCTAGGGGGAGGTCACTAAATTCGTCAATGATTTGTATGATTTAGCTTAGAATGTGATTCGTCGAAGTAGGTAAGTAGGTAATCATCGTTTTAATTAATATTTCTTTATTTCCAGCTATCAGCGGCGTTACAAATGCAACTCGTGTGACGTAGGTACCTAATAATATTATACTCGTACAAACAGTGGCATAAACATTAAACATAGTAAGGCTTAAATAGGCACTTGTTCTGAGATTTGAAAACAAATGTTCCTATATTACATGCTAAATCTATTATCATTCAGCAGTGGGCAGGTAGGTAGTTAGTAAGTAGAAAATTGGGAGCCTATGGGTATAGGTACTTAACTAGTTATTTATTATACATTAAATCATTCAATGCGTTATTATTCAATCAATTGTGCATATTTTTATTTGTTACTTTACTTTACCAAGAGGTTACATGCTACAGCATAAATATTTCGGTCATTAGATAAGACTAAAATGGTACTACCGTATGCCTGCCTTTAATCGTCACATACTCCTATAGTCCTATGTCCGTCATAATAACTTGGGAGGGGACAGGGTCTGGAATGATAAAAAACAAAACAAGTTTTTATACTTCGTACGTAAAATTGTTTTCAGTAACGGCTTTGCTTACTTCATTGAGAATCAAAATAAAATTGTACCTAGGAATAACTAGATAAGGGTTGCCGACGCAATGGGTTTCTTAGTTAAAGCAAAATAATCAGCATTTTTCTATACCTATAGGATATTTTTTATATAAGTAGCCATTAGGTACCATGCAAGATGTACCTACATCGTATATTCGCATATTAATAAAAAAAAATACATCTCATGCACTCAAATAATCAATTTTTAGTATCGATATTCAGAACGGAACAGGTAATAAAAAAAAACCTATATACCTACTGAGACGCAACTACGAAAGCAATAAACAATTTAGTTATTTCATTATACTACCTACATATTTTTTGTGTACAATTTAGGTGCCTACTATAAAATATTATAATATACGATGATATTTGAAATCGTGACATAAATATCTCGAAAGTTTAATGGCTGCCACTGCGAATACGAGTACATTATGATAGTCGCTGTAACTCGGTGTATCAAACATGCTATTTGTTTAAATTACATTTGTTCCAAGTAGATGGTACCTATTGAATATTGTTTGTTTTAAAGTGAGGAGAAAAATAAATGTTACAAAAAACCGACAAAGAATTTTCTATTAACTATACCTACGTAATAAAATGTTATTCAATCTATTTAAGTAATCCGAATCAACAGGTATACGTATAATATTATAAGATTTAATTGGAGTGAAGCTATAGATCTAACAAATAATAATATCTACGTCACATAAACTGACTAGTGTGGCCACTTTGTTTATTTTGTTTGTACTGAATATTTACTTAGTAAAATCAAAAAAAAATCAACAAATTAAGTAGCGTATAAGGTATGTTTAAGAGGTCATAGTTGTTATTGGTATATTCTTTTATATCTTTTTTTAAGAGTCAAAAATGTATCAAACTTAGGGTGGACACTTTACTATTCTTCAACAGTAAATTTAAGTATTTGTCTCTCTGAAATAATAGATTTGACTATTTTTTTTTTGTTTTTTAGCCAAACATAAAAGCCAAAATTGCGTCTCACAAACATCTTCAAAAATTATAGAAATGCATAATAAAACTCCCATGAATAAGAGCTCTAAATATGAATCAGAATCTATGGTAAACTTAAAAAAAATAAAATATTTTACAATTAAGTGATTAATTTTCAATAGCTTATAAAATTTAATTCAGAAAGTATTATTTGAATATTTGCAAAAATATAATAATATGTATAATAAACATCTGAACAACAATAAAATTATTGGTGTAAAAAATGTCATAATATTTAGATTATTTAATTAGATATTACATGCAAGTGAAACGCCCAAATTATTGTAAAATCAATACATATTTTACTTCACTCAACCTAGTAGTGTTTTTTATTTTACAAAAAGACTGTAATTTTAATAATATACAGCTTTCATTAGAAATAAAAATCATTTTATTATAAAAGTACATTTATCCGTACTTAAAAAAAAATTACTACTTAAATTTTTACATTTGACTATTAAAAATTAAATTATAGCAACCAAAATGTTATTTTTGTGGATGTACGGAAAATCAACCAAGATTGGAGGTGAAACACAGTTCGAATCCACTGCACACTTTACACCTCAGTCTAACATTTGGTATTCAACTTAAATAACAAAATGAGGCAATAAAGTAGTCAATTGTCATTAATGAGTCGATACAAGACTTGCTGTAGATAACACTAAAAACATGGAAATTATGTAAATTCAACACTTATGTTATGTACCAAATTTTGTATGATACATCAATTTATAAAATACAAATTAGAAGAGGTAATAGCATTAAAAGTAATACCTAATTACTAATTAGTAAATAGTTATAACTTAGAACCAGTATAGTAGTATGACCCCTAATAAGTGATGCAATACTTTTTAATGGTTAGGATGGAAAAAATAGTCAGATGTATAAGAAAGCTCAAAGATATATCATTTTGATGAACACAATACATAATATAATATATTATATTAATGAATACACAATTTGTCAAAAAGATGTCAGTTTAACTTTATTAAATGCGAATAAATCTAGAACCTAATCGGGAACAAATTACAGTGAACTTAACAGAATAATAGATAACAAAAAAAAATCTAATACTAATCTGCTAGATTAAGTTCTCCAACTCACTTCATATAAAAATAGTAAAGAAAAATTTGTACAATTATTTTTACAATTGGGTTTTTTTTTTAAATATAAAACTTGTTTAATTATTTAATTGTATAACTTTCTTTAACATACTACAAACTGTTTCCCAACCATACTTTGTAATAATTTAAACAAAAAAAAAAAAAAATGATTCACATGTTTTACTGAACTATTTACAATTACAAATATCAAACCATTAGATTTTTTTACGATTTTATTTTCCTGTTTATTAATCTTTGAACATAATATATAAATATATATATGTATAATATATACATATATATATAAATAAATATTTATGTTTAAATTATATAAAATACATATTAATAAATATATATAATTTTTTTTTTATTATTGTTTAGGTGTGTACAAAAAACTTACTAAGTAGTAGTTTCTCTAAATAAATAGAATAGGTGGGCTTAAAAATCCACGGCTGCAGCAGCTGTAGATACCAGAGTACGTCATAACTTAAACATATATTCTTAGCCAGTCAATTTTTCAGTTTTTAATATAAAACTTTCTTAACTTACAAAAACATTTTAGATTTTGTTTTTGAAATATACATAATATTATTCAATTATTAGCAAAAAAGACCGTTGATAAGGAATAAACGCCTAAGCATGCTATTAAAAAAAATGTATGTTCTGCTTTGATTGGATGGATTAAGAAGAATAAAATAATAACCCTATGTAACAAAACCAATGGATGTATATGTGATGCGATATTCATGTAATTTTAGTCCTGCATATCATCAGTGATTTCATGTGGGTTTAATATGCCAGGCACAGTCTTCTGTACTTCACGCTTTTCTTCTTGAGCTACCCTCAATGCTTGTTCTCTTTCTTCAAGGTATAAGTCAGATATATCTTCTCCGGTAAATTCCTAATAAAACATATTAAATTGTTTTGTCAATTATATTTATTAGAACTCTATGCTATATAGTTTAATTTATTATTAAATACAAATTTAGAAATATTAAATTATTGCACATTATTAAGCTTTAATGGTAATAAATTAAGTTATATTGTGCTTGAACAAGTAAATTCCCGTTAACTCAGTAATATACCTTGAGTTTACTCTACTCTAGTTAGTCTAGTTTGACTTTACTCTATCAATCTCTTGCTTATACTTAAACTTAATGTCACAATATGTACATCAACGAGAATTAATAATTTAACTTTTAAAATAGTATCTTAGATTGACTAATAAAAAAAACATAAGAATGAAATTTTAATTATTCGTTTAAGACTTAAGTTTTAGTATAGTAATTAATAAAATATGTAGCTTAATACAAAATTAACTTTCAAATATCACATTTCTAAAATAATCACAACAAAGATAAACAAAATAGATATTGGTATAAATCATTAATTAATTGAATACAAAATGTTGGTAAAACTTGATTATTAAACATAAAGATATAAAAATGTATTTAATGTAATATTAAAATGAGCAATAGTTATTATATTAGCTACAAAAGGCAACAGATAGTTTAATTTGGATAGTAATTAAAAACAGTGGCTTGGCGGGGTTTAGCTACTGCCAGTCGCGAAATGCGATTGGAAGTAACGGCCACAGCTACAGGCTCCTTATAGTAGTTAAAAACCTTGCCACACATACACGTGTTTGCTACCTACCGTAACAATCGTAAAAAAACAACCTACTGTACCAACCTTACCCCTACCATAGTTCATAACCTCTACAACAGTTAATAGCTCTAGTTGCCGGGCTAAGTTTAAGTTCAATTAAAAACAAAAATTATGATAAGAGGACACTACTCATAGATTTATATTTGCTGTTTTACAAACGTGCAAGACATAACAAATTTTCAAACACTAGTTTTGCTATTAATGTTAACCTATTATCAAATCTCCAGTTAAGTACAGGTAAGAACATTATCTGTGCTTAAGAGGACAAAATACTTGCATAACGTGTCATCTCTATCTTACCAACATATTATAATATCCCAAAATGTACATCCAAGATCCAAAAGTTCTAAATATTAGTGAAATGACTTATTATCAAACTTAAATGTATGAATATTATCAGTGTACTCTCGTAGGTTTTTAACTATATTTAAGCGAATTATGAACATTTATAATATTAATATTTTACATACTCATAAATAATAATTCACTTAAAAATAAAAATATCGTAAAACTAAAGAGAGAACACATGTTCTTACTTTTAAGTTTGACAATAGGTCAATTCAATCTAATATATTAGGAGCTAACAACACAAGACTGGAACTACTGGATGTATTTTATGGCATATTTTGGGTCAGTAAGACAAAGACATCATATGTCGTAACAATGATCTTTTAAGCATCGGCTTTTTATTCAATGTAAACTCTTAACAGCCTACAATTGAAACTTATGAATGAAAATTTGTTGTCATCCGTTTGTATTTCATAGACAACGAGCACACAGGTAGTATCAATAAACAAGCAAAAATTATGATTGTAATTCACTTGAACTAGAGTTATTAAAGATTAGTTACATAATATTATGTTATATAGGTTTTATAGAAAACTACTTAATATTGTTTTTAATCACTTACTCTGATCTGAACAAGGAAATCACGAAGATGGTCTTTAAAAGCTGTTAGGTCATGATTCAAATTAAACATGCCTTGTACAGTAAGAGCGATTTGTGGGTCAGCCAAATGAGGGAAAGCTGTCTTTAGCAATGACGCTACAAAATCACGAACATAGGCAACATTTTTATCTGTAACTTCGCCATCAGGAGGTGCACCTGGCGCACTTAATAAAACTTCAATTCTATCGCTCTCAACTAATTTGAACATGTATGATAAGATTTGTGCATGCATTAATAAACCTGTAAATTCAAATTTCAGATAAAATAAATGCATTTAGAAAATTTAACTCTTAGAAAAGTAATAATGAATAAATCTTACTTGCGGTATGAGATGTATCAGTGGCAACAGAAAAAACATGTTGTAAGATATCAGTAAAGTATGATACATAGAAACTCTGAGCTGCTTGTTTATGCTGTTGAACATTTTGCAATAATTTGTACAATATCTGAAAAAAATTAACATGTTATTCATTTATATATAATACACAATTTTCCTTTAAGTTTATACATCAACGATGCCTAAAAAGAATATAAAATATTCATCAATTTCTAGTAATATTTATCATTAATGTTATGTATATAATATTCATAACCTAATTAGAAAACTAATTGTTGTTAGAGTTTGGCTATTTGTTAAAGGGAAAATGTTACGTGACAACTCTGTTTATAAAGTTCTTACAAATGAAAAGAAAATTTTGAAATCTGACTACTCACAAGGCAAGTTTGTATACTGAAAATCAGAGAAGACACCTATAAAATATATGGGTTGATTTCACAGTTTATTCTGTTAAAAAATATCTAAAAATATACAAATATGAAATATTAATACATTTAGAAATACATTAATATTTAATGAGTTAGTGTCTTAGTTGACGGCAAATAGATTGACACAGCAGCGACGATTTTCAGAAGGTGCATTTCAAAACTAGCCACTGTGTGTTTCAACTTTTGGCTGAGCAAAGCGCCTCACCAAATTGTTTATCATAATTAAAATATAAAATATATGACCTCGGATGATAAATACAATATTAATAGATTAATGTGATATGGAAACTATGGAATATACTATTACAGTGTTGGATATTTACTAATTTAGGCCACTACTTGCTATAGTATCTGACAACAATTGTGCACTAATATTTAAATAAATTGAGAAATAAATATTTTAACAATCTTTGTGTATGTAAATCTACCCTAACTCCAAAACTTGGGTCAAAATAATTCCCAAACATCTTTAATTAAAACTTTTTAAATTATATTATACTAGTAGATTCTTCCTGGGCAACATACCAATAATCCAGTATCAGCAACATTACGCATGGTATGTTTAAAAGCCCAAAATATTGAATCCAAAACCAATTTAAATTGAGGGGCTGGTATGGACAGGAATGATACAAAGCAATGATTATTTATTGCCTGAAAAAGTTAAACAATCAATATGAAATTACAAAGTTAAAAAGTTATTACTGTGTAAATGTATTACTTACTTGTAAAAGGAGGTAGAAATTTGTTCTGTGTTCAGGGAATTGCTCAAAATCTTTATTTATCATTGTAAGTGTGGCCTCGAACACGGCATCTAAAATTTTAGATACTGCCGGTGTTATGTCAGATTGTAGTTTATCAATTATTGTTGCCATAGCACTAAGTACTTCTGGTTCTCTAGCAGATGGATGCATAGTCTTACTGTAATCGGCCAATACTGTTTCCAAAAGAGGAGGGATAAAATTTTCTAATACCTAAAAATAAAATATTGTAAAGTAACCGGCATAATCGACAGTTCACGAGCTGTTTTTTGTACAAGTAGTTAACATACCATTGCATTATCACTAGATCTAGAAATCCAATCTGATATCAAACGTAAAGTTTCTTTTTTAATAACTCTCATATTTTTAATCAATGGTTGTTTTGTAACACTATCTCCATTAGTAGCTATGGCGTCCGTGATATTTGCACTCATTACATTGTAAATATTCAACATATCCAAGTATATTCTTCCCAACTATAATATATATGTTAAAGTAAAAAAATTTTAAACATTCATATCAAAAAATAAATGCACTTACTTGGACAACATATTGATGTCCTAGAGATTTACATGCTCTAGCATTAGTTTTTAAAATATTACCCAATTGTTTGACAAACTCTGGTTCTTTTAATATCTCAACATCCTATAAAATATGACAACAAATAAATATAAGTTATTCATAAATTACAAATATTACAATTACTTTTGAAGCTTGACTGATACAATCATCCCAAATTAAATTTGGCAACATCATATATTTATCAATTAGTTGTTCTTGGATTTTAGAATTCACTTGAGCACTAATCATAATACCAACAGCTTCATAAAAGGTATGCACCTTGATATCAAATTATAAACATTAATAGGATAAGTCTGGTTAACAACAATTTATAATATTCAATTACTTGTTGTGGCTGTAAGTCACTTATTATTGTTGCCATTGAATTTAGAATTTCCTCAATAAATGGCATAGCTTCTCCAACCTGAACTTGAACAAAGTACCTTCTACATTTCATTGCTATTTTGATAAAAGTATCACATGCCATATCTTGAACACCA